TAAAGACCTGCAGTAGTGGGTAATTTTTCCTGTTACTAGGCCAGGTTATTTTCAGCAAGTCCGTGCTTGTGGTGGTTTGGGGAGGAAGAGATATTGTGCTGAATTGCCCCAGACCCCACTCAGGCTGTGTTTTGCTGCGGGCTATAAATGTTTTGCATTTTTTTCCTTCTAAAGTGTGTTTGTGTGTTATTGTACAATGATTGTGTGTTTATTATCTTTGCATTGTAATCCTAACACATGTCAATTGCTCTGCTCTTCCAAATTTGCACTTGGCTATAGTTTGCTTATTTAAACTGAAATGCAGTTTTAGGACAAACCTGATGAGAAATGTATGTGTGGGGGATTTGGGGAGGTGGGAGGCGTTTAGTATTTTGGCACTCTTATGTATTTTTATATTGATATTTTGATCTGCAGCCTGTTTTGTGGATAGATAATCCTACTAAGTGATTGTGTGTTAATTTTATGGCCCTGAAAATGTTGCTTGATTCATATTAACCGTTTGTTTCCTGCTGTAACCTGTGAAAGCACTGTTCATTAGAAGTATAATATTTAGATTGTAAGCTCTTATGAGCAGGACCGTTCAATTTAAGCAACATCAATCCTGCTTTTCTTTTTTTTTTTTCCCCACTAGGAAGTTGACTGTACCTGCTTGTTGCTGCTGATCAAATAAATGTGGAATATGTATTTGATCAATAAATGTTTGCACTATGTATTTTTTGGGGGGATTATTTCATGTTCAAGTTCAATATACTAGCACCCCTAACACATATATTTTGTGAGCTATATAATATGCCCAAATCTAGCTTGTTAGAGTGCACATATGCAAGTATGTCCAAACTAACAAACCAAAATCCCCCTGTTGCACCAAAAGACTATGTTATGCACCAATGAATAGGTCTTGTTCAATGTGCAGCTAGCTATTCTTTTTCTACAATCCTCTTAACAGTAATAAATTAGGCCCCAAATTTATGTTGACTTTGGCCTTTACCGGCAAACATATATTTACCAATGCCAAATACACAATAGAACTGCAAACATATATTTGTGAATGTCATTTACACAATGGAGCCACGTGGAAAATTGCTATGGTGCACAAATAAACACCAAGATGGCTGTTGGAGGAGGCGCTAGAGCAGCTGTCATACCAGAAACACGTCATCACGTTTGCGGAAGGATGTTCGCGTGCACCCAGAAGTTGTAGTGGGGAGTGTTAGTGGATGGGAGTGTAGTTAGGAGAGTTTAGTGGTAATTTGCAAATCTATTTTTTCGCTTTGTGAATTGTTCTTTTGTGGAATTCCAGACCACATCTGGACATGGCGAGTTCGCGTGTTCTCGACCAAGGAGCTGATCCTCTTTTGCAGGGGAAACATTACTAATAATAATTGTATTTTCAGTTGTATACATGTCCGATTCCTAGATACTTTGAGGTACATAGCAGAGGTTCAAGGTATTCCATAGAAGAAGTTATTGTTCTTCCTAACTATACAGGTGGCACAGACACAAGCATACACCCAGGGCCACTGTTAGATATCACAGGGCCCTGTACAGCATACCTGACAGCCTCCCACTGCCAGAAAAAATATCCAAATTATATTTATGGTAAAAATACACTAAAAACATTATTAATGGACACAATCCCAACCAAATTTCTGTTAAATCTAAATGATAAAACTGTACTGAGTTAATAAATATAGCTGTGTGTGTAATTGAGGTCTTGGGGATCATTCACATGGGTGCTGTGGCTGTAGAGTGTGAATCAGTGGTTTCTTTTTGTGGCTGTCACCGTTTACAGGCAACCTATGTTACACTATGGAAATGCTGCAGGTCCTAATTTGACAAGCATATGGGTGCAGGTGTACAGCCCTAAACACAGACAGTGAGCATTCAGGGCCACTCCCCCACACCTGCACACCTGTCAGATTAAAACCTGTGTTCATGCAGCTGCTGTGTCACCATAGTGTAACAGGTGGCTCCAGACACATACACAACCCCCTCATTCATGCTGTACAGGACAGAGGACCTGTGTGAATGTGGAATTTTTTACTTTTTTTTTCCTCAGCTCATTAATCTCAATGGGCTGCCTAACATGTGGGAACATGGAAAAATACTGCAGGCATATTATTTTAAAAGTGTGTTGCACCTAACCACATAGTAGTGTGGTGCCATGCGTTTTGGTCGCTGTGAATGTGTCTGTGTTTACTAGATGTGTGTAGGTGCAGTTATGTTTTCATCATGGTACCTGCACACATCTGCAAAGGGCATTGCGTTTCTTTGCCGTGCAGGACAATGCGTGCTCTTGCATGTGTTTCTGCACCACAAATGGTGTGAACAAGTCCTAAGGGCCAGTTCACACTATAGAAACACAGTCTAGATGTGTTCCAGATGCGTTTTTGCATGCACTTTTTTGATGCATGTTTAGCACGTTCTAGTGCATTTTGGATGCGTTTTTTGTATGCATTCCAGTAAATTTTTTCCCCTCTTTTTCTTCAATTTAATTAGGAACATGTGCATCTTTTTTGTGCTTTCCAGGGCGTTTTACCGCGTTCCAGTACAGTTCTATGCATAAACAATGCAGCCTGTTCGACTATTTTGGCAGCACCTGCAACGCACTGGAACTGCAAGCGCCGATGTGAACTATGACATTGACAACCATATAACCTTTCTGTGCGTTTTGGATGCAGAAAAAGCAACTGAAGCACATGTAGTGTGAACTGGCCCTAAAGGTTATTATAGATAAGGGAACGGGACTGACCAGGAATTGTGAATTCAATCACACTAGTGGTGAAATACAATTAGGAATCTTATAATAATGCTAGATCTGAGCTGTAGCTGATAGGAAATGAGAAACATTAACTTGATCAGTAAATAGTTAAATAAAGAGTGAGGCGGTGATACATAGATTTGCAGATGGAACAGGTGATGACAGGGGGGTGGGGGAGGGGGTCAAGTTGTATAAGGAGAGAGGTTTAAGGGCACGTTCACACTTGACTTTATTTCTAACTCTTGCCAAATGACCCTATAGCGTTTGACAGGTGTTTGGGAAGCGTTTTTCCTCAAATGCTCCCCAAATGCCCTATGCGCGGTTTTGAGGCATTTGATAAGCGTTTTCAAGCGTTAAAACTGTACCACAATGCCTATCATGAAGTTAAATGGTATTAATGCTCCGCAAACGCCTTGTAACCGCGTCACAACCGCACCGCAAACACCTGCCAGGCATTTGAGGAGCAGCACCATAGACTTGAATGGGAGGCTTCAACTCCTCTTGACTCGACATGAGGTGCCAGTTTTGCCACGATACAACGCTAACGCTTCAGTGTGAACAGCACTGTGTGCTGCGTGTGCAGAATTTCCATAGGTGTTTTAGAAGCGTTAAAAACGCTTCCCAAACACCTGTCTGATGCCTGCTGAGAAGAGAAACAAAGTTGCAATGAAATATAAACATAAAGAAAATTGAAAGTTTCAAACTTGTCAGAAGAACAGGACGCAGGTAAGATTCACTCCCTTTCCACTTTCTAGTGAGTAGCCAAAATCTTGATTGATCAATATTCCTGGCACTGACAGAACCCTGGAAATTGATCTCCAAATTTTGGGTATTCACAAATGTCAAGGAGCTTACAATCTAAGGCCAGAAACTCAGACATATACTAGGCCCAATTAACCTAACAGCCTGTCTTTAGAGTGTTGGCAGAAACACACCCGTGCAGAGAAAGCATGCAAACTCCAGACAGGTGCAGCCATGACTGGGATTAGAACCCATGACCCAAGTGCTGTAAATTCTGAGTTCTAACCACTAAGCCACTGTAGGAAACAGAGTTTGAGCTGAATGTAGAATAGTTACTTCATAGTTGATTAAAGAGAATGAAGATATATAATTATATTGGGAAATTAAAACTAGACATTCAAATTATTTGAAATATAAGTGTGAAAATGTTTGACATTTGAAAATAGAATGTATGACATTCATTAGGAAATGCATCTGTTGACCGAACATTTTTGGAGAAACAGCAACAACAAAAAAAAATTATAATATACTGTAGGTGTGCTTTTTATTTTAAATTATAAGTATTCTCATATGCAAACAGATAAATGCCAACAGTACAAAGCCCGTGGTTGTGCGCCACCTAGCAAACATATCCGGCATTGTATCTAGAAATGTGCCCAAAGTCATTACGTATTTACGAACAGGAAAGAGTCTAGAAAGAAGACTCTTTTTAATCAGCTTGCTGGGCGCCTTTCTGAAGACTGACAGGTCTTGATTGATTGAATTCAGTCTTCCTGAATGTTCAGCGTCTGCTGGTAGACTCAATTCTTAGTTCAGGGTCCAAGAGTCAGGGTCAAAACATACCTCCCAGACACTCTGGCAAACCCTTTGTGGCTGCCTTCCAGCTCAGGATCAGCTACAATCCACCCTTTTACCACACAACCAGGCGTGCAGCCCAACACAGAAAATTTTTCCCCAACTTTTTCAATTTATTTTTCCCTGATCATTTCCTTCAATTGTAGATCAGACTAACCTCTTTGGCCAACAATATATCACAGACAACCCCAATTCATGCTATGCCCATCCATTCGAGTGGAGACGGCTAACAGTAACAGCGGAGTTTAAATTGTTTTTTGGGTCTTACAATCAACATGGGGCTTACAAAAGAAATGAATTACATTCATATTGGTCCACCCACCCCATCCATCACATTCTCATCTTTTCATCTGTAATGTCCAGGTCATGTTATGATATGATAATGCACTTCCTGCATTTCAGTGATAATTCCCAGTGCCCTTTCCGAGATCAGCCTGGCTATGACAAACTGTAAAAAAAATTTGCCCCCTAATGATTTTTTTTTCTAAAATATTTTTTGAACTTTATGTCCCTCACCAAAATATCTGTGTGGACGAATCTCTTGTCCACTTTACTGGCTGGCTGGAATTCAAGCAATATATTCCCAGTAAAAGGGCCAGGTATGGACTGAAGCTCAACAAGCTCTGTGAAAGTGCCACGGGATATGTGCAATGCCTTTTGCATGTATGAAGGCAAAGACTCCCAGCTTCAGCCCCCTTGGTGCCCAACCTACATTTGCACAAGTGGAAAAAGTGTCTGGGACCTGGCCTTTCCACTTTTCCAAAAGGGGTATTGTGACGAATCGTCCCTGTGTGATCACATTTTGCCCTTTCTGTTCTGGTTTTATCCCCTTTGTAAAGCTGGACATGTTTCACAGACATTCTACACTGTTTGTTTAGGGAAATGTGACCTTGTAGTCTTTCACTTCTAATAGAGTTCATACTGCATTGTTAGTTGTAGGGTTTGTTGTGGGTGGGGAAAACCCGGTGCCAGGCTGTCTGGTGGGGGTGGGGTTGAAGCTGTATATACTGAGCTGTGTTTAATAAAGAGTCAGTCATTATTCACCCTACACGAAGTTCCGACTCGTGGTTTTGGGTAGAGCAAAAGGGAGGGTTTTTTAGCTATAATATCTGCCTTGGGAGAGTGCTGGAAGACTTGCTGGAAAAGAGGACCATTGGGTGTGACACATAGCTCCGCACGAGGAAGCCCAGGCAGAACGGTTCTGTCACAGGTATCACATCTACTTAGACAATTATTACACAAGACTGCCCCTTTTCTGCCAGCTGTACCTTGAGAAAACGATGGTAGAACCCGAACAAACAGGAAGGGCTTCCCACAAAATTTAGTGAACACAATTCTATAAAGAGGAGAATCTGCAAGTCTGAGGAACAAGAAAGTGTTGGCCATGAAGTGGAGGGATAGGAGAGATGTTTATGCCCTCTCCACTATCCTTAATGACACCATGGTAGAAATTCATAGAAGACAAGGTCTCATCCAAAAGTCAGAGTGTATCCACAATTATAATCAATTCATGGGGGGGTGGATTTAAACGATCAGATGCTACAGCCATATTTATCAACAAGGAAGTCCCTCTACTGGTACAAAAAATCTGCAATATACTTTTTCCACATGGCCATTTTTAATGCATACATCACCTACCAAAAATCAATGGAAAAACCTACTACCTTCCTCAAATTTATAGAAGATGTCATCACTGTCCTAATTTATCAGCAAGGATCTCAACCACAAACCATTCACTTTGATTGTGTCAGCAGACATCATGAACGCCATTTCCCTGAGAGTATTCCGTAATAAGAAACAGGAAGAAGACGCTGAAAAAATTTAAGGTATGCAACAAAGGGGGAGTTAATAGAGACACCAGTTTTCATTGCCCCCAATGTCTTCCCAACCAGGTCTATGCATAGGAGACTGCTTCAGATGGTATCACACGTTAGTAAGATATTAGTTCCCCATATTTTTAATAGCCTGCAATTTCCCCATTTTTATTATTTGTGATGATCTTTTGCCTGCTGCCTTGATTGACCATGCCTCTGCCTTCTACCTTAATTGACCCTCGCCTGTTTACCGACAATTCCTCTGCTTGCTGTCTGAATTACTTCTAAACCACATTTCTGCCTTCCACCGGGACTGACCATGGTCTTTTTATCGACTATGCTTCTGCCTGCCATCTGGATTATCAACCACGTTTATGCCTTCTTCCTGGACTGACCTCGGCCTGTTAAATCAACAATGTTTTTTGCCTGCTGCTTGGATTCTTCTTTTGCCCTGATACTGCAGTAGTGGGATTTAAGATAACACAGGGGTCTCACATATGTGAGAGGCTTCAGAATAGAGAAAAAACAGGTTTTGGTTTTCTCCAGGTTTTGTTATTCCCGGAACAGAGTCTGTCCGGAGGCTTTGAAGAGATTGGGTGGGACGAAGCCTCTACCCCTGTTCTTCGGTCTTACCTGACCAAGGCCCTAAGCCTGATGTTCCTGCCTGCTGCCTGGACCAATACTTTGTGATGATCATATCTCTGCCTGCATTGACCCAGGACTTTTTATGGACCATGTTCTTGCCTGTTGCCTGGACCAATTCTTTGGCTGTGCTGACCATATCTTGCTACCTGTACTGACCCAAGACTTTTTTTGGACTATGTTCCTGCCTGCTGCCTGGAACAATACTTTGGCTTTACTAATCATATCTTGCTGTCTGTACTGACCTAGGATTTTTTATGGACCATGTTCCTGCCTGTTTCCTGGACCAATACTTTGCCTGTGCTGACCATATTATTTTTTTATTATTATTATTATTATTATTATACAGTATTTATAAAGCTCAGCGCTGTACATTACAAAGGGGGACAGAACATGTGACAGAACAATACCAATACAATGCAAAACATGAGGGGATTGAGGGCCCTGCTCTTTCAAGCTTACAATCTAGGAGGGAGGGGATGGTGGCACAGGAGGAGATAGCTGTGGGGGATGGAGTGGTGGGAAGAGTGGAGGAGGTCGGTCAAGTTAGCAGGGGGTGGGGTAGGCTTCCCTGAAGAGATGGGTTTTCAGGGTGCGCCTAAAGGAGAGGAGAGTAGGTGATAATCTGATGGGTTGGGGCAGTGAGTTCCAGAGGATGGGTGACACCCTGGAGAAGTCCTGGAGGCGGGCATGGGAGGAGGAGACCAGGGAACTAGAGAGAAGGAGGTCTTGTGAGGAGCGGAGTGTGCGTGCTGGGCGGTACTTTGATATTAGGTCAGTAATGTAGTTCGGGGCAGTGTGGTGGACGGCTTTGTACGTCAGTGTTAGGATTTTGAATTTGATCCGTTGCGCAATCGGAAGCCAGTGGAGGGATTGGCAGAGGGGGGTAGCAGAAACGGAGCGGTTGGAAAGGTGAATGAGTCTGGCAGTCGTATTCAGGATCGACTGAAGCGGGGATAGCCAGCGGAGAGGCAGGCCAGTGAGGTGGGAGTTGCAGTAGTCGAGTCGTGATATGATGAGGGAGTGGATGAGCTGTTTAGTGGTTTCTGGGGTTAGGAACGTGCCTATTTTGGCGATGTTGCGGAGGTGGAGTTTGCACGAGTTTGTTAAAGATTGGACTTGGGGCTGGAAGGATAGGTTGGAGTCCACAATGACACCAAGTACTCTGGCCTGCAGGGCGGGTTTGATATTGGCGTTGTTGGATGTGATGGAGAAGTCAATGGGGGGTGGGGTCCGGGCTGGGGGGAAGACAAGAAACTCGGTTTTGGAGAGGTTCAGTTTAAGGAAGTGGAGCGACATCCAATCTGATATGTCGCTCAGTAGGTGTGTGATTCGGGCAGAGACCGAGGGGGTGAGGTGGGGGGTTGAGAGATAGATTTGTGTGTCGTCGGAATAGAGGTGGTAGTTGAAGCCGTGAGAGTGTATGAGTTGGCCAAGGGAGGAGGTTTAGATGGAGAAGGGGCCCAAGGACAGAGCCCTGAGGGACCCCAACAGAGAGGGGGAGTGAGGGGGAGGTGGTAGCATTATAGGTAACGCTGAAGGAGCGTTGTGACAGGTAGGATGAGAGCCAGGAGAGAGCAGAATCTCTGAGGCCGAGGGAGTGTAGTTTTTTGAGGAGGAGGGGGTGGTCGACTGTGTCGAAGGCCGCAGAGAGGTCAAGGAGTAGGAGCACTGAATAGTGGCCATTAGCTTTGGCGGTTAGAAGGTCGTTAGAGAGTTTGAGTAAGGCGGTTTCGGTGGAGTGTAGGGGACGGAAGCCAGACTGTAGGGGATCGAGGAGGTGGTTGTCGTTGAGGTGAGAGCATAGGCGGGTGTAGACGAGGCGCTCGAGGAGTTTAGATGTAAATGGGAGCAGGGAGATGGGTCTGAGGTTGTTCGGGTCATTGGGGTCCAGGGAGGGATTTTTAAGTATGGGGGTGATGTGAGCATGTTTCAGAAGGGAGGGGAAAGTGCCTGAGGAGAGGGAGAGATTGAAGATGTGGGTGAGGGAGCATAGGATGGAGGGGGAGGGAGGTCGTAGGAGTTGTGAGGGGATAGGGTCGAGGGGGCAGGTTCTGAGGCGGGCATCAGAGAGGATCTTGGAGACTTCAGAGCAGTGGTGTGGCCGTGGGAGAGGGGTGATGAGGGGGTAGCTGAGTGAGGGGGAACGGGGTTGGAGGGAGTTTGAGCAGTGACGAAGTCCCTGCGGGTTATGTCGAGGGGGAGGGGGGATGAGGGGGTAGCTGTGTGAGAGGGGACGGGTTGAGAGGGCGTGTGAGTTGCCGCAATGTCCTTGCGAATTGTGTCAATCTTGTTTTTGAAGTGATTGGCAATCTCAAGGGCGGTGAGTGAGGTGCTGGGTGGAGGTGGGGGTGGCGAGAGTAGAGAGTTGAAGGTGGAGAAGAGTCGGCGAGGATTGGAGGAGAGGGTCTTGATGAGGGTCAGGAAGTAGGCTTGTTTGGCTGCGTGGAGGGAGGAGGTGTAGGTGTGGAAGGCAGATTTGTAGCGGGTGAAGGCTTGTTGGGATTTTGTTTTGCGCGCCATAGTCGCTCCAGGGCACGACTGTGTCGTTTGAGGGTTTTGTTGTGATCAGTCTGCCAGGGCTGGAGCGGTCAGGGTCTGATGTTGCGTGTGGTTAAAGGCGCTAGTGAGGCAAGGGCTGTTGACAGCGCGTTGTTGTAGGCCGTCATAGCCAAGTCGGGGCAGGACAGGGGGAGGATGCTGTCATGGAGTTGATCAGCTGCAGAGTGGAGGGGGGCAGGGTTAAGGTTGCGGAGGTTACGGCTGGTAGTAGTGTGACATTTGGAGGGGTAGGCGTTGGAGGACGAGGAGATAGAGAAGGTAATCAGGTTGTGGTCAGAGATAGGGAATGGGGTGTTAGTGAGGTTGTGGGGAGCGCAGCGGTTCGAGAAGACAAGATCAAGGATATTACCGTCAGAGTGGGTGGTGGATTGTATGCACTGTGCAAGTGCAAAGGAGGAGGTTAAGTGGAGGAGATGGGATGTGTCCGGGTTGTCGAGGTTGACAGGGATGTTGAAATCCCCAAGGATGATGGTGGGTAGCTCAGAGGAGAGGAAGAAGGGTAGCCAGGAGGAAAAATCATCCAGGAAGCGGGGTATGGATCCAGGAGGCTGGTATATCACAGCAATCTTCAGGGGGGTTGGGGAGAATATCTCCTTTTGCTACCTGTACTGACCCAAGACTTTTTAATACCATGTTCTTGCCTGCTGCCTGGACCAATACTTTGGCTGTGCTGACCGTATATCTGCTTGCTGAACATGACCAGTGAGACATTCAATATATAATCAATGAATAAAAATGAAATTGCGCAATAAAGCGCTGAGAAGGTAAACAGTGATTTGCGTCTGAATATAACACATAAGGTGCAACAAAAGCAGCCAACAATGATATAAATATATAGCGTATGTCAACGCCTATGGTAGTGAGCTCTATTGATCCACAGTTTGGGGTTCCCCAGGGCACGGAGTCTAAGCCCCAGCCTACTTGTTCACCAGGGCCCTTGATGGTGGGGATGGACTTGCAGCAGGCTAAGACCAGGTCGCGGCCCCCAGGTACACCCAGCTGCGGTGGAGGAGACCGCTAGCGGGAGCAGGGTACAACGGGAGAAGACACAGGGAAACTAATGTGCAAGCCGAGGTCAGGACAGGCGGAAAACAAGCAAGGTCAGGAACGAAGCCGGGGTTGGTACACAGATAGAAAACACAGGATTCACAGCGGAAACACACGGGAGCTCCAACAATAAGAAGTTGCTCAGGCTGAGTGGCCTAGTCTGAGCACATCTTAAATAGACAGGCAGACAAGGAGGCGGGACAGGAAGTGGTGGAAGGGAAGGAAATAAAACCTAGAGGACAGCAGACGACACCCATAGAAGCACAGACAAACACAGGTGAAGGAATCAGGAGCAGCAAGGAGGTAAGAATAAACAAACAAAAGGCTGCAGGCTAACTTATGACAGTGTATCACACAGGTGTGATATACCACATAATAAATGTCTAAAAAGCAGAGTATAATCCGATTAGTATCTGTCAGGGATGCGGGTGTGACCAGAGAT